TGGCGGCGGCGGCGGCGGGCGGCGCGGGCTGGCGGCTGCCGGGGCGGGTGCTAGAGCTGGTGTTCTCCTACCTGGAGCTGCGGGAGTTGCGCAGCTGCGCGCTGGTCTGCAAGCTGTGGCACCGGGTCCTGCACGGCGACGAGAACAGCGAGGTGTGGCGCAGCCTGGCCGCGCGTTGCCTGGCCGAGGAGGCGCTGCGCACCGACGTGCTCTGCAACGTGCCCACCTACAAGGGCAAGGTGAGCCGCGCCCGGCGCTCCCACCTCGGGGTGGCAGCGGGGCAGCCCCCGCCTGGCTCCCTGGAGCAGGCTGCAGCGGCCCCCAGCGGGACCGGCCGCGCAGCGCGCCCATGATGGCCCTCGCCGCAAGTGGAGTCACTTGGAGACGCTGGTGGGGCATCTGCAATAGCCGGGGTGAGCCCGGCCACCCTGGCTCTGACCGCCACCAGCCCTGCTCTGGGTCTGCGGGGGTGCTGGGAGCAGTGCACCCTGGGATGCTGGGGGTGGCAGCCCGCTCCTTCTGCCTCCATGGGGCAGACTGAAGGGGCCCTAACAGGAGCTGCGGGGCCTTCGCACCAAGTGGCGCTGCTTCGAGATGCTTGCAGGGCACCTAGCAGTAGCAGATGAGGGTCAGGTGAGCCCCTGCACCCAGCTCCATGCTGGCACAGCTCTGACTGGCTGCTATGGGGCAGGTGAGCAGGAGTGTGCCCAGGTGCCTGGTCCTGGGCTCTATCCCTGCTCTGGGGGTGGGGTGCTGGGAGCAGTGCATCTTGGGATGCTGGAGGACAGTAGACTGCTAAGTATCTGTAGAGCAGACCTTAACTGGAGCTGGGGGCATGGCCCAGAGTTAGCCTTTGCCTCAAGTGGTGTCACTTCAAGACCCTTGTACCTAGCAGTAGCTGGCAAGTTGTGACTTGTAGACTCTGGTGTTTTCCCTGCCCTCAATGGGGTTGCCATGTAATGTGTCCCTTTGTCCTCATCACCCATCTGGTGCTTGCAGATGACATGAGCGTTGACTCTCAGGAGTGTACACCTCTCTGATTTGGTTAGGCTGCAGACAGATGTCGCATGTGTCCCAGGATAATCTGTTTTATCCTGGAACAAAGTGCAGTGTTCAGATGTCTGTCCATGACAAATTCTTAAAAAGGTTCATGGGGTGAGAAGTAGTAATAGTTTATCCCAGGATATTGCCAGGTGTGTCTGAACAATTGTCCTGGGGGTTGCATTGTGGAATCAATAGTAGAAGAACAGTGCTACATTCAGCTCTTCCCTAAACCTTAATTAAAAGGGTGATTGTACGTGCTTACAGTTCCTGGATGTTACTGTTTTGGGAGAAACACAGGTACGACTTGTCCAGGGACAAATGGAACGTCTGTTCCTAGCCTTGGTCTGTAATTTGCATCTCTAGCCTGCCTTCTCTGTCCCTCAGCTCAGCTGCTCCTGATCTCAGAAGTCCAGGCGCACTCTGGTTCTCTGGCCTGTTTTGTATCTAGAGTCTTTGGGTAGCAAACCCATCTTCTTACTTTCTTGTGCCATCATATGCAACCATGCTTTTTAAAAAACTGTTGCTTGAAACTGAGTACAAACGTGCTGCAGGATGTTAATGGAACAATTGCATTCATGGTTTATTCTCTCCAGTCCAAAAATTCTCTCCTCTCTCTCTCTTGTCTTAGGTACGTGCCTTTCATCATGCTTTCAGCACCAATGACTGCTCCAGGAACGTCTACATCAAGAAGAATGGGTTTACTTTGCACCGGAACCCCATTGCTCAGAGCACCGATGGGGCAAGGACCAAGATTGGCTTCAGTGAGGGTCGTCACGCGTGGGAGGTCTGGTGGGAAGGCCCTCTTGGCACAGTAGCCGTAATTGGAATTGCCACAAAACGGGCTCCCATGCAGTGTCAGGGTTATGTGGCGCTGCTGGGCAGTGACGACCAGAGCTGGGGTTGGAACCTGGTGGACAATAACTTGCTACATAATGGAGAGGTAAATGGCAGCTTCCCACAGTGCAATAATGCACCAAAGTACCAGGTGAGTGAGACTTGGAACCAGTCAGAGACTGCTGCATTTGTGGGCAGCTGTCCATCAAGAATAAGCCTGAACACTGTTTTCAATAGGGGTGCACCGATAGAGATTTTTTGAGCCAATATTGATGGCTGATTTTTAGTGAGCCATATTGACTGATCCCAATTCAATTCCGACATGCAGCCAGGCAGTATGGAGAGCAGCATCCAGCTGGTAAGTCTGTTGTAGGGGAAGGGGCGTTGGGGGGAGGGCATCTGGCCCCTGTGGTGAGGAAGAGAGGGAAAGGGTCTGGGGCAAGGGCAAGGGCAGGCACTGCACTGCCGGGGTGGGGTGCAGGATGGAGCCGGGAGCAGTTTGTCTGGGATGTGTGGGGACGGAGCAGAAGGTGGCTTCTGCCACTGTACATACTCTGGGAGGGCATGTGGGACGTATACCCCTGGATCTGCACGTGGGGTGAGGGTGGCCTGGGGCTGGGGTGACGCTGGGCTTTTCCCAGCAGCGGGCTGGGCTGTGCTCAGGATGGGCAGCGGCAGTATTGGGAGTGGACCAATTGGAGGGGCTGCAGCCATCCTAAAATTTGCCATAGCCCCCACTCCTAGTGCTGCTGCCGCCTGCCCTGAGCGCAGCCCGGCTCAATCTCCCCCTCACTGGGAAGAGCCCGACACAGCCCCTGCCCCAGCCTGCAGCAGCAGCCCACGCTCACCCCGTGTGCAGATCTGGGGGCACATGCCCCCTGTGCCCTCCTGGAGTGTGCACAGCAGCAGGAGCCACCTTGTGACCCCCAGATGAGCTGCTTATGGCTCCATCCCACACCTCGCCCTAGCTGGGCAGCACCAGCCCCTGACCCAATCCTGCTCCCTCCCTCACTGCCGGGGCCTCTGTCTGCCCCCTGCCCCTCCATGCCCTCCCCCGCTTCCCTCACAACAGACTTACCAGCTGAACCCGGCTGCTCTCCATGCTGCTGGGATGCACTCCTTGCCACCTGTGTGCTGTGCATGCACAGGGCATTCGTTGGCCACGTTGTTGGCCACATCAGCCAGAAAAAGCCAGTTGCCTTTACTGTCACTTTTTTCCTTATATCGGTGCCAATCTGATATGGGACCAATGTATTGGTGCACCTCTAGTTTTCAGTGTCACTTTTCCTTTTTTTATGCAAATGTCTAGCTGTTTCCTGAAGTTGTCTTATGAGGCAGCTTACACCAGTTACCTGTTTACCTCATGAGGGTAATAATTTTGCCTTGTTACCCATTTTCTGCTTTGCCCTGTTTTTAGATTTCTTCCCTGTGTATTAAGAAATTCAGACAATCTGAAACCTAAATGATCTCCTTCAAGGAAAATAAAAGACCACAGTTTTTATCTGAAATCTTAAATGAAATCATCCTATGTGTATGCATCTTATTTAAAGGCAGTTATTTTGTTTCTATTTTATTTTATTTTTTTAATGAAAGGTGACTAGAATATTCTAGTTTACCCATTGCTATATCTAAGAAGTGTTGCATCTTCTGGAAACACTTCCTGGTGTGAAGTGTTTCTGGTTGATGCTTGGGTAGAACTCCCCCCCCCCCCCC